GGGATGGAACATAGTTTTGTTAGTTCTATTATCTTAAATACAAATAGATTTTTACCTATACAGTAGCACCTAAATCTGTCCCTGCCCAATATAAAGTAAAGTATAGTGTGTGTTATGAAGAATTGAACATGGATGTGTGTGTGTGTATGCTGGACTACAGTTAGCAGTGTAGAGACAAATATCAGGCCCATTAAATTCAACTGTTTTATGGACAAAAGAGTTAAAAAAAAAAAAAGGAGTTGTCAATCAAGGTATATAAAGATCTATGAATTTGTGTATATATATATATATATATATATATAAAATGATAAAATTAAATTACTGCTAGATTTATAAGTGGTAAGCACATCCAAATTTGCAAATGATACTTTTTTTTTTATTTTCTTTCTATGTGTATGAATAAAAGAGAGTGGTTAATGACTAAAGATGCTTTTAAAGCCATTATGAACTTTGGACCATTTCTTCACAAATTTCAACTGGATGTGAAAATAACTTATATGCAAACTGGATAATGTAATAAAAATTTAAACAGACCCTGTCAGTGGATTTTAATAGAGCTTGTTTGAATATAATGTGTATAATATTGTTCTATACTGGGTTGACAAAAAATGTTTAATATGTAATTATATGCTTATTGTAAACATTTAGTTTGGATTAATTTAATTCAAAAAGATCACTTTTCATTGTATTATGAGAGTCATCATATGAGCATAGATATTGTTTTTTAAATTGTCGAAATTGTATTTTTGTTTCTTATTTCTAACATTGAATGATCAAATGACAATCAAATGAAAATATTCATTGAAAATAGCCAATATAAAACAATACAGGAGAAAGCCAACATATTCAAAATATCAAGCACTGAAAATCATTTACACTGGTTTGATTATGTTTGCCATTTTGATGTGTGACTTTATAAGATAAAAAAAATCTGATTGGCCATATTTTAATGTTTTTTTTAGGTTTTTTTTGATTGTTCTTGTTGATGAAAAGTGGATACTTTATAACAAGGTGGAACACAAGAACAAGCAAAATGAACCACCACTCACCTTACCAAACAAAAGCCAATCTTCATTCAAAGAAAGTGATGCTGTGTATATATTGAGACTGGAAAGGTGTCTTCTACTGTAAGCTCTTTCCAGAGAACCAAACCATTCAAATGGTGCTCATAATGAGAGCAATTGTAGGTGGCAGTTGATGAAAATTAAGGGTGAGGTCATAATATTCTACCAAGATAATTACATTACACTTCAGATTACCTTTCATTTTGGTCTTTGCAGAATTCTCTTAATGATAAATAATTTAATTCCCTAGAAGATTGCAAAAAGTAGTAAGAGCAATTCTTTGATAAGAAACATAAGTTCTGGGAGGATAGAATTATGAAGTTGTCTGAAAGATGGCAGAAGGTTGTTGAACATAATGGTAAAGATGTTGTTGGGTAAAGTTAATCTCAAAAATAAAATAAAAAAAAATTAATCTTTTATTTTGACTTCATAAATCAAACTTTTCCTCTGACCCAATATATATTGTTCACTTGACAACTGCTATAGAGTGTGATGGTTTGTATGCAAATCTAACAAATCCCATTACTCCGACTGGATAGTGAATTTGATCTTTGCTAGGATGTCCTACATTTTTGACAGGTGAAGTTCAAATATATATCTTATTCATTATATGTCTCTGTTTTCAACATATTCTATGTCATATATAACATAATATACCATGTGGTATTTTTGGTTTATATAGTGTGCATATGGAAATGTATATTTGAAATATATAGCATTTGATAAATATGTGTGTCTATTGGATTTGGTAGATGTTTGTTTAAATTTTTTAGATGAGTTTCAGCTAAAAAAAAAAAAAGACACCTGTTGAAGTCTGGTAAGAATATCATAATCAAATTCTTTGCAAAAACTTTATATAAATTGTTTATATTTTGCTGCTATTCCTATGTTTAAAGGAAACGTACATTCGATGCAAAATCTTTAGTTCTGCTTTGGACAAAGGACATGTGATGAGGATATTTTCTTTGATCAGAAAAATAATAATGTCTCATATAAGACATAAAATAGATTTTTTTTTTATTTTGAAATTGTAAACTAGATCATAGTTTTGATAATAGAATTATTTTCTGACAACCTGATTGATTCTATGCACATTACTTCCAAATATCTGTTGAATTTTGGAACCAAGACTTGCAATACACGTAATAATTAGGATGGTCCCTTCAATTATTTTCTTTATTAATTTTTGTTTTGTCTATTCACTAATTTGAAAATGTATGAAACCAATTCTTATGACAAAATTTCTTTTTCTCACCCCACCCACTCTCTCAATATGACTAGATCACAATCTATGATCTAAGCTATAACTATAAATATAAATATTTCTGTTTGTGTGACCCTAAACCAGTGTTTCTCAACCTTTTTTTTATGCAATGGCGCACCTAGGAGCAAATGAAAAATATCACGGCACGCTTCAACAAATATTTAAAGGGTATACATTTAAATGTTATAAAAATAAAACCATAGATTTTTTTAAAGAATATACAAACAAATATGAACTTCCTTTATTTTAATGTTTCTATTCAACTATTTGTGCAGCTTATTTAGTGCAAAATCTATGCTTGGTGTTTTTTCTTAAGTATTTGGTCAAATGTGCAATAAGCAGACCCTTATTCCTTCTTCAGTTGAACGTAGTCTTTCTCGCTTCTTATTTTTATTTTATTTAAGGTTGAGAAGCCTAATTTACATAAATAAGAAGTAGAAAATTGTAATAAAACTGAAGCCATTTTAGCTAAAGTGGGATATTCTTTTTGTATTGAAACCCAAAATGTATCAAGAATAGTGAAAAGAATTATTTGAAAAAGTTTAATACTTATTCATTTATTCAAATACTAATGCTGTGCCATTGCTACTTCTACGCACATACATATATAGATACGTACGCTGTGACACTATTTTGTGATACAATTAAGAGGATTGCAGCATGGCGGTCGAGAATCACTGCCCTAAAACATGAACAATTGCCAGGAAATATATTTTGGACATTATCTTTATGAAACATTTCTCCAAAAGTCTGAATTTTTTTTTTTTCCCTTTGAAAATGATGAAGCTTTGCTATCTGAAATGCAGTGTTCAATTGGAACTGTCATGATCCTAATGACTGCTTTTCTTTTATAATTAATTTGAAAATAAATCAAGTATTACACATTGATCTTAACATTAAAAGTGAAGATGTTTAAAAAACAAATTTTGTTCTTGAATAAACCAATCTTTTCTCCTGGATATTTTTATTTAATCATTCTATCAACTGAATTAAATCTAAAGTGTACATATTAAAATTAACAACAAAAGTTAATGAGTCTTTTAGAAAGTATTTTAAATCAAAGCTGGAATTATTAACATCTTTGATATGTAAATGCTATGAACTAATTTTGAGGTCTATTTTTATAATATAAATGTTTTATAGGTATGTCTTTTGACTAAATATTTCCTGGATAATGTCTGACAACTTTTTATGAGATTTAGTTTTGAAGAAAAAAATTTTCAAACCAAGGATAGAGGAACTATAAGGCAGCACTTGTTGAGTTGTTTAGCACTTTAAAAGAATTCTTAGACAAAGTGATCTCTTCTGACTACAAAGAATTGTCTCTTTGAGACTGGCAGCAGCTTTCAAACAAATTTTCATTAATCAATTTACAGAAAATCTAAAGCAAATTATTAGTCCTCTTAATAAACTGAATCAAAAGAAAAGAAACATTTAACACATACAGGGTAAATATATACATACACACATGAAATGAGTATATACAACTATGTATATGTTTTGAGTCTTCTGTGTACTGTGTAGTTGTACAAACGCGCACATAGATATATATGTGTCTGTGTGTGTTTCTTTCTTTGTGTCTATATGTGCTTATATTTATATATAATCTCTGTAAACATTATCTTTTGATGTTTACATTGTCCAGACCCTTATCAAAAGCATGTATCTACAGAAATCAAATATTTAATTGATAAAATTAGTGTCTAAATCATTTTAATAATTGTCATGAGGAGTGGCTGCTATTGATTGCCTTTTATAATCTTGTTATTTAATCTTCTTTCACTCTTGGCTTCATATACAAAATATATATTGTTTGGTTTACAAACTTTGCATAGTTTTTTGGTCTATTCTTTTCTATGTTTTATAGATATATCATAGGCATATATTTATGCTTAAATATTTTTCTAATTTTGTTACACTGAGTTCTGAAAATAAATAAAAAAATTAAATCAGTTATGAAATTAAAAAAATTATAATAATCTGAAATTTTCAGATCCAGCATGAATCTTTATCACTCTGATGTGTGACTTGTTCTAATGGAATTAATGATGGCAAAAAGTTATTCTGAATGAGAGTAAAGTATCTTTTTGTATATGGCACGTACAGATTGGAGAGTGAACTGACTGAAATTTAGGAATTAAAGCAACATAGTTGGAGATTCTTATTGGAACAATTCATAGAATCAGTGTTTCAAACAATCCTTACATCTAGATTTTATACATTAAGAAATTCAATTTGATTTACTTCTAAATGTCATTTTCACAAAAAAGCTCAAGTGAAATGTATTTCCTTGTTTTAAAATCAACTAATTTCCAGATTTAAGTTTAGTTTAATCAATTTTAAAATATTTTTTTAGGTACAAAGCTTCTTGTGTCAGCTGAATTAAATCAGCTGAAATTGTTTGATTTGAGAGCTTCACAAAGGCTGACTCTTCACAAAGTTAATCTCTAATTGTGCTAGGCATTCAGTGACTTGGACATGCAATGCATATTTTTCTTGAAAATTAAATGTACTTTTTTTTTTTTTTAAATATGAGTTTATCAATCCCTTGATGCATTGGGTATACATTTAACTTATTATATAAAGTGGATTGATAAAGGTTCAATTTATCTAATATGCAAATAGCAATATATACAATGTACAAATATTTGATCATATCTACAAGCATAGACATGTCTATCCATCTCTGCACCTTTTTTCTTCATTCATCTGAATGTGTAGGGTCAGAGGTTAGAATATTTCAGTCTGCTTTGCTTTCAACAACTTTGATAAAGAGAAATCATTGTAATCATTCTTAGTGTAAAATTCTTCAGGATGTGGATGATCATGGCTCTCCACAATTTCCTGTCCTTTGTATCTGTTATCTCTCCTAATCCCTGTTCTGCCAACCATTTATACAAACTTGTTACAAAGTCTAAATGATACTTCCTGCTGCATTTATCCATATAGAATATCAATCTGCCAGGAAAACTTCATTCTTTCATAAAGGCAAGAGTTGCAAAAAGAATTTAAAAAAAGAAAACATCTTCCAGATCTGTCACTTCAACCAACAAATTCCAGAGATGTTTAGTTATTACAAAAGGGGGAAAAATGATTTCACTTTTAATGATCCCTGTTATATACCATAGTATTTTTTAGTTTAATAACTCAGGTTTAAAAATGAATATCTATACTTTGATTTTATTTGCAATAATCATAAAATAGTTCTAGCTGCAAGAATAGAATCCAACTGCAAAACAGATACTCTTAATACTCTCCCATCATTTTTGATGTATGAGGGTCAAGCAGCTCAGTTCTTAGAATCAACAGCCAGACTACCTGCACATATGATTTGATTATGGTGGTAAAGGCTTGTGTAGAACCAACCCCTCTTTTTGGAAGAGCCAAATACAAAGAACCGGTGCATAGTATGCCACAAGGTCCCCAGATGACCCTGGTTTTGAATTCAGAATTGTCCTTCTTTTAGATTGTTAGCCACCCAAGGCTGTCCCAGGATCCAGTCTGTCCCATTATTTACCCCTATCTTTGGGAGAAGATATGGATTCATACCTTTCTTAAGGGTATTAGCACATAAGTGAATGTAATGAACTCAACTTGAATTTGAACTTGACTCTCTGATTCCTCAATCTGAGCTGCTACCCATTACTCCACTGTGCTTTTCACACACACACACACACACACATATATATATATATATATATATATATATATATATATATATATATATATATATATATATATATATATATATATATATATATGACACTCATATTTTAACATATTTCCCTGCTCAACAGCATCATCAGAGAAATGGACTTTATTTAAATTAAATCTACAGAATGTGGTTTATTTGCAACAGAATGTAGTTTACATTAATAAAAATGAATATTTGATTTTTTTTTTTATTTTAACTGTATTGTTTTCTTTTAATTAGATTTTCCTAATTTAAACTCTGTTTTTATTTATATATTCATTTCTTTTAAGGTTTTTTATTACCCACATTGCCTCAACACCATTTTAGTAAAAACAGATGATAAACTGAAGTAGTCTGGTTGTATATTAACCATAGGGTATTTATAGATCATGCCACTTTCATCTGAATAAATTATATTTACTTTTTAATAAAATTCCAATTTCCAGGCAAAATTTATGATTATGAAGATTTCTGTGGTATACAAGTGCATTGAGTGTGTTGTTTTCAAGTTCCTTTCAACTTCATTAGTTATGGACTTTGTAGGTATTATTATATGCCTAGTTTTTGTGTTATATATATATATATATATATATATATTTTTTTTTTGTTGATTTTGGACACTTTTTACAGTTGGCATAACATATGAAATAACTGGGATTATATTTACCATTCCTTTGGATTCTCATACAAATTTCAATTGTATATTGTCTGTGTGCTGCAATATAGGATAGCAAATGTGTAAAGGTATCACAAAATTTAATTTCCCTCTTTTCCAATATCCTGCTTGTCTCTACTCAGACTTTTGTTTCTCTGGTCATGATAATCATTAACAAACAAGTTTACTCTCTTCGGCACTTTTTCTTTTTTTAAAATGCATCATATTTTTATAGAAACTAAAATGTTTAGCATCTTGGCTCAACCTTTTGTTATTTGGAAAACCTGAAGAGAAAATGTTGGTTTATTTTGTTAATTCTTGGTGGATCTGTAAGCAGCAAATATTTGCTGATGATTACAGTCATCCTATTTGGTCAATAAAGTTATTCTTTCCATTCCTGAATATAAAAATTTGCTTTCACTATTTCCTTTTCTTTTTGTTTTGACAAAGTTACCTTCTAGATTCTATTAGATTGAATGTTTGTTGAAATTGTTGCAAACTTGTGTTACTACTAAAGGCTGTAGAATTTCTTTTCAATTGTAAAACTGAGTGATATGAGTGGAGAACTGCTCTCATGGTAGAGGCCAAAGTAAAATCAATACATCATTTACAACTACCATACTGTATGTAAACAAGACGTGTGTATAAGTTCTAGATGTGTACATTGCTTTATTATGACAATCTATAATACACATAATCAGTTGTAAATTGATCATCTACAATTTAATTGTTTTTGGTTTTTTTTTGTTTTTGTTTTTTCTTGCTTGATGATTTTCTGTCATATCATTCCTTGAGACATGCACAATAGAAAGGCTTGTGAAAGGCTTAGGGAATTTGAACAGTAGTATAACCTTTTGTTACTACCCTTTGCAAACCAGTGTGATGGCTAACAAGCAATGACATTAAAGGAGAAAACTATAGGCTAGGTACCAATAATTGTTTTCCACACTTTTTGGTTACACCTTGTACAGATTGAGGTTTTCTAATAATAGGTAACATTTCATGAATTGTAATGTTAATATTTTTTCTCATTTGACATGATTCACACCAATTTCTTGTTATTTATAGATATAAGCAGATTTTCTCTTCAAAGTTATAAATAATACCAAACATAATTTTCACAAATGAAAAGGGTGCTGAAAAATTACCAAAATTCATTCAAATCATCAAATATCACAATCTGTTTCGGAATACATTTGTGGTCAGGCCACAAATTTTACAGCACCCCTACTTGTAATGCTGACAATTGTTTATTAAACTCTCTCAAATAATTCACATGCCCAAGTTTAAACAATGGATTAAGCTGTGAGTGTATCTGAGAATTGAATTTGAATTGTTAATATTAAAAGATGGTTTTAAAAATATCTTTATCTTGGCTATTACTTTTAGCCAGCTCATTCTATGAACTTCTGACATGGTGTGATATTATGATACAACTGAATAACAATAAGCTTAACACAAGACAAAATATTATTTGAAGGAGGTTGAAGAATAAACTAGCCAAAATATTATGAAGATGAGAACAGTGCCAAATCATTGAATACAAAATTCATTCTTATATGTTAATATGCAAAAATGCTAAAGTCAAGTATATTTGCGATTAGCCAATATCATTGTCAGTGACTAAAATGTTGCTCATAGTTTAATACAAGACATCCTATCTTAAATTCCTCACATCAATCATGAAATATGCATACGAGTTGGGATAGGGAATCCATACAGGAACTAAAGAGACTGTGTATGATTGAGATAGACAAGAATTAAAAATGAACTGGCCACATATAGTAGACAATTACAATGCCTATAAATTTGTGAAATATTAACTTTTTAAAGAGACAGCCTTTTATAGAAACAAAAAAGTTCTTTAACTCAACCTCATGATTAGAATTGAATGCACACTCCTCAATGAAATATAGAGTGAAAAAGACAGTGATGACTTCTGTCAAGATTTCTAAATTAAAATCAGACTCATTGGTCTTTTTGTTTTTCAGTCTTGGCAAAAAAAACAATAATCTATCTTCAAGCAAACATTATTTTGTGTTGTTGGTATAAAATTCTTTGATAGTGTTGTTTTCTCTTTCCGATTTCAGAAACTGTTTTATTAACTGTTTGAGACAGAATTAACCAATCAGAATTACTTAGGTTGCATTGTCACAAGGTCACAGACAATCAGGATTGAACTCACTGCAACAGAAGATTATCTGTTGCACTACAATAGGTGCACAAACCAATGTAAGAGACATTCTTCTACCCAAGGGATCACCCCAGTATCCTTGCTGGTCAACAACTCATCTATAAACAGAAAGTAGACATGTTGTTGCATTGGTTATTTTTTCAGGAATATTCTTAATGTAATAAAAATCCCCTTGTCTCTCTCTCTCTCTCTCTCTCTGTCTCACTCAATATATATATATATATAAGATTTTTTTAAAAATCCTGAAAATTTCAAAGGTAATTTTCAAATTCTTGAATAAATCAATAGAAAAAAAAAGAAGAAATGTTTGTATATCCTTGGGAGTTAAGTTCTATTAAAATTGAGCATTTTATTGTTTCAACAATAAACAAGTGAATAAATTATCTACACTATTTATATTTGGACTATTGTCCTCATCTTTATTATCACAATATTTGGACCATTGTGCCTTCCAGCCTTCCTTGGGTGTATATCGATCTGGGTAAACTATAGAGAATTCTAAACTGAAACCCTTATTTAATCTCTGGAGTTAAGCTGTTCTTGTTCCACTGCTCATGTCTAGGGATATCGTCTAGTTCTTATTTTATTCCTATGTAGGTTACCCAGATTGGTATACACCTGATGAAGGCCAGAGGGCACAACCACCAAAATGTTGTGATAACAACAGCAACAAAGATGAGGACAATAGTCCAAATATAAATAGTGTAAATAATGATAATTCCTCATCTCAGAAATTCAAACAAAAATTGAATAAATATTTTAATTTATAAAGAAATTTCTACCAACAAGCTCTTTTAAGTTCTCTTTGGGAATTTTGTTAAAAAGAAAATGATAACCATGACTTTACCATATGTAGTTTATAGTGCAAGTAACTGCAAGAAGCTTTGGTTGGGTAGAGGTGTCTCTCATCTGCTCTTTATTGTTGTTTATTGTTGGTGTTCTTTTCTTGCAGACTCGTGTCTTGAAAAGTGACTTTGCTCGTTACAACATTGATGAAGAGGACAGTGATGATTTAGACCAAGATGAAAATGGCTGGAAGATCATCCATACGGATGTCTTTAGATTCCCCGTTTGCAAAAGTCTCTTTTGCGCCATACTGGGTAAAACAATTATTTCCTTCAAAATTTCACAATACACACACATACATATATATATATATATATATATATATATATATATATATATATATATATATATAATGCCATATTTAGAAAACAAACAATCAAAATTTCTTTTGATTTGCATTTAATGTAAATGTGTGTATGATTTTTAAGAGAAATATGTTTCTCATTGTTTCTGTACATAGTCTAGTATGAAATTTACTATAGAGAGGAAAGTCTATATTAAATAAATGAATGTTTTGATTCTACCTCTGACAATCCAATTTGATTCTCACAATGTACAAAAGGAAGACTCTCTTTGTATATTTGCATATCTTAGAAACAGTTTTCTTTACACATAATTAGGAAATAAACTTCCTTTTTATTTATTTCTTTTTTCCATCTTTTCTCTTCTAACAAAGTCTACAATTTTGGACATAGTTTTTCATCTTAACTGAAAATATTCCATTATATTTTTCAGAATGACTAGAATACCTAAAAAAAATATTCTGCAACCATCATAAATATTTGCACCATAAATATTTTTTTTTAAATATAACAACTGCGAGCATAAAAGTCAACCTATGGAAAATCTAAACCTAGGTTTTAAGGGCTTCTTATTGAAGAAATTCAAATTAGCTGAAGTTGATTTCTTTAGAGAAATATTTTGTGAGATCTTATTTTAAAACCTTTAGTTTACATCAATGTCTATTCTTTTTAATGAGTTAAAAGAATATCATTTTGTAAACATTGAAATAAGTGAATGTCTAAATAATAATGACTATTAATAATTTGATAATTTAACAATAATGATTATAGGAAAAAGAAAAATATATAAAACTCTCAAATAACATTAGAATGTGAAATGAATGGATAAAATGATTGTATGTAAATGCTTCTTTTATTTGTAAAAATATCTTAAAATGGTAAATATTTTTCAGCCAAGAATATTATTTGCTGAATCCAACATTATCTCCATTTTATTTTAAAATGCTACAACAACTAAATTTAACGAGTGAATTAATAGAAAGTTTTTTGGTTTTTTTAATAATTGCAGGTGTTGGAAGCCAGTTTTTGGCATTGGCCACTGGAATTTTGGTGATGGCCCTTTTTGGCATGTTCAATGTTCATCGTCATGGTTCCATTAATTCAGCTGCTGTTGTCCTATATGCCCTCACTTCAGGTAACCACTGTAAACCATCTGTGTCCAACTTGATAGGTTGAAACAGTCTACAAAATGTCAACCTTTTGCTTAAAGAAAAAAGACAGAGGAAATAATCTTGATAAACTTTCCAAACTTTGCAGATGCTTTTCTTTTGGTCGTATTTGACATGCTGAGAATTTTGAATATAAACACATTTTTCATGCTTTAAACTTTTTATTCTAATTTATTGTCACATTATCTTTGTTTTTAAAACTGTTTCCATTTTTTTTTTTTACTTTGTTTTCTTTTACAGGTGTGTCTGGTTATATTGCTGCAAATTATTACCGGAAGATGGGTGGTGATAACTGGGTGTGGAATATTAACCTCACATCGGCTTTGTTTGCATGTAAGTCGATCTACCTCTTCTCAATCAATGTTCGCATGTACATTGGGTGCTTAGGATGGATACTTCAATGACTTAGCAACAATCAAGGTGAGAAGAGAATTGTGATTTAAATTTGGAGGCTAAGACATTTGGGTGAAAATTGAAATTGACAACAGAAACACAGAAATATAATATAGGCTACAATAGTAATCAACAATGTTTATAAAAGGAAAACTACAAGAGATCTTTGTACATAGACACTTTGTTTTTTCATTGGTGTTATCTGCTTGTTAAAAATATATCATTTTTGATAAAAACATTTTTGTGTGTATGGTTTGCTAAATATTTTACCCACTGTCATTTGATATTAAAATTTTCTCATGTACCAAAGAAGAAAACATCATTAAAGCAGAAGTAATTCTTCTCCAACATTTCTTATTATTATTCAGAAATGTTTTGCTATTAACAGTAAACAGCAAGTTTTGGGGGTTTTTTTTATATGAATATAAGATATTGTTTTATTTGTTGAAGCTTGCTTATAGGAGAATAAAGTTTATTTAAAAACTTTTCATGTTGTCATTAAAATATAAAGTGAGATACAGAAATCTTGTTGCTTAACTGTGTAGAATAACAAGAATAAACATAAAACTGTTTTATAATTATTCAAGGTAAGGACATTATTTTGAAGCTGGATAAGTAAATCGCATATAGATATTCAGAAATCCTGTGAGCAAAGGATGCCGTGTAATTGAGTTTTATATTTTAACGTTTTATTTGAAAGAAAAGATTTGTTTCCTTTGGGAAAGGTCATCAGTTTTATGTTAGCAACAATTATTCAATCTCTTTGAGTCAAGTGGATTCAACTTGGAACAATAAAAGAATTCAAGCTGTCAGCTTTTATAACTCTTGACAATCTCAAATTTCTCACTTCCTTTCACTGATAAATTGAAATAGATAAAGCATTGAGAGAATGATGAGTTTAACTTTTGCTTAGTGTTAAGTTTTTTTGAATTTAATATCCATAGGTGAAGAATATAAAGAAATTAGATGAGAAAATGATAAAATGAAGCTTCAAATATAAACTTTGTATCAGAGTGGCAAAATAACTTATTAATTTAGGACTGAACAAAATTTTCAAAAATTTGAAACCTTTAACACAGCCATCAGTTTTCTTTTTCATTCTCAACTTCTACATTTTGTAGCTGAGGGTCGAGTATTTCTCTCAGCTCTTTAAATTGTCATTAACATAGTAACAGAAATGTTAAACAAACCACATGCAACCAACTCTAAGTGTCTTATCAGGTTGACCCGATTCTCTGTTAGAAAAATATATTAAAATCACAAACCTCACTTTGTTATAAACAGAAATCTATTATGAATATTTCCCATCCTTGTGCTGAAAATTTAACATGTTGCTTTTGGTATTTCAAAATATTAGATATTATTGTTCTTTTATTTTTACCCAACAGTGCCTTTTTTCATGGTGTGGGCCATTATTAATTCAGTTGCCTGGGCATATGGAACAACTCAAGCCCTTCCCTGGACGACTGTTGTCATGTTAATATGTCTCTGGATATTCGGTAAGTAAAAGCAACCATTGTCATTAATAAGTATTTTAATAAAATTGGTAATTTATTTTCTTTCCATAAGCAAATATTTGGATTCATTTAAGTTTCATAAGCAATTTATCATGTAAAGCAAATTTTCCACAAAAATTGCATTCTAATCAAAGGGAGGTAACAAGTATGAAAATTAATTTACTGGATTTTTGCCCCTTTGAACAAATGATTTTTCTTTACAAATACAACTATTTGGCCTTTTTTTTTTGTTTTTTGCCTAGTATTTCATTCATCTAAGCTTTTTCTTCACAACTCTGTAGAACGTCAATAGACCATACGGAATAGTTGTGATTAAAGGCAACTATAAATAAAGAAAACGAAAAAAAAGGATAAATTTTTTTGAAAATTATTTTACACTCTTTTAATTTTGTGTGCAATTTAGTTTTTTTTTTTTTTGTTTTTTTCAGGAAAATATTTTTTTCCTAAATACATAATCATTATATTTTGAAATTCTGAGATGAAGTCTTTTTGTTATTCTGTAGAATTTTCAGATTATTACCTTTTCAGCAGAAGAAAAAAGTATTAAATAACTTTTAAAAACTGTGATACGATTGAGAGAAAAATTGAAGAATTTGTAGATGGCAATATTAAGAACAAAGATGAATACAGTAGCTTATGAAATCATAAAGTTAGATACTTTAAATCATATTTTCATGTTGTTAACTCATAAAAATGTATTTTTATTATATTCTGTATTGATAGCTGCCATTGGTGTTAAGTTTCATTTTCATTTTCTCTAATCATACATTAATATTTTCTATTAACATTTGGTAAATTCAGAAAAAGGTCTCTATAAATACAGGAAATCCTACAAAGTCTTGCAAGGTTTCTTTTTAAATCAATTCACCCCCTAGCAAGGCAACAATGCCACCAAGATTCAAAGGGCTACTGGGAATGAAAGAGAATGAAAAACACTTTAAAAGGAACTGGAAACCCAGTCCTAGACAGGAAACAAGGGATAAACCTCTACACCTGCTCAAAAGCCTGGGAAGGAGTGTGAACCAGACATGTTGAACAATTGCATTGTGGAATAATAAACTTATAATTATTGTTGATTCCTATTTATTAGTAATCTCTCAATTTGCTAATTTACTAGAACTAAACATATGGAAAGCAAAATGTTTGATTGGAATTAGGAGAAACCAATCTATCATTATCAGTTTTTATTTTTATAACAAATTGATTGGCATGTTCCTGTGTTGCAAATAATTAGAATGAAACCTGGTAATTGCTGTATAATAATGTTATTAATTTTTTTTCACTGGTTTGAGATTTAAGATGTGTACCTTTTTAAATGATTTGGCACCAATGCTTTCTTTTGATGGTCAAGAAAATGTATATGGCTGATTTTTCTCTACAAAAAAATCATATCTGATCAAAGGACCACATTTTTTAAATACATGGCACAATATAAAATAATTGTCACCTCATGAAACATGGTAATTACAAAATAAATATGATATGAACACCAAACAGGTTAATTCATTTGTGTCTATTTGCTTTTTCTTACAGTTGGTTATCCATTGACAGTAGTTGGTGGTATTTTTGGAAAGAATTGGGCTAATGGATTTGATGCCCCATGTCGCACAAAAAATATTGCTCGGGAAATCCCGTCTGCTCCTTGGTATCGATCTGCTTTTGCCCATTGTCTGGTTGGTGGATTCTTGCCATTCAGGTAAGGTTTTTTTGGGGAGGGTGTAAATAAATTTAGTCTCTTTTCAGCCAAGTAACTAAGAATTTATTAGTTGGTCTTAAGAGACAGTAACTCATTTGGAAATAACAACTGATTAAAAACATATTTTAAATAAGCATTTTAAATTAATATTTTTACATTTGAATTTTTGGAATGAGTAGTTGTCATTCTTTTAAACTTTTCACATGCAGGTTATTGTGTTTGTCTTTATGCCCTCCTGCCTTTCTGGTGTATGCCAATCCAGGTAACCCACAGAGAATTTTGAAATGAAACTTTTATTTAATCTACAGAGGTAGATCATTCTCATTCTATTGCTCATATCTAAGGATATCTTGTCTAGTCCAAGTACATTGCTTGGCCCAGCATAGTAGAAATAAATACAATATGGGAGACACTAATAAAGAAATAAAAACAAATGACAGCAAGGCTCTAACAGCAGCAGCAGCAAACAAAGGGAAAAGATTTGATGAGTACAATCAAGTATGAAAATCAGCAACACTCAGCATCAGGCAGATTAGGTTTAAGGCTCCATGTTCTCCACAGAAAATTGTTCCACTTAATGGATTAAAGAGTTGGTTCATGAATTTGTTGACACAGTAAAATTGAGTTCAATTCTGGGCTGGGCAGTGTACTTGGACTCAGTGGAAATGGGGCAGGCTGAGCTAAAAGTAAGAACTAGATGAAATATCCTTAGACATGGACAGTGGAATGAAAACAATCTATCTCCATAGACTGAATAAAGAGCACAGTTTGAAATTCAATATCCATGATGATAACAGCAACAAAGATGAAAACAATTAGTTCACATGTAAATAGTATAAATAATATTTTTACTTTTGTTATAATGTGCTTTGTAGCGCTTTATAAGTCATGCTTCGGCAACTTGCTGTGACACCTGTATCACTTAGTTTGAAAACTCAGACAGATTCTTCTTCTTACCTCTGACCTGGAGTTCTTTATAGTTATGGACTAATTCATGTCGTCATCAAGGGTGTACTATTTACTCCACAACATCCCCACTTTTATTGCTTTTTATAAATATTTTATTTTTTATTAGTATTAGTATTAATACCTCCCCCTTCTCTTTCTTAGATCTGGAAAAAGCATATGTAACCACATGGAGATATGGTATCATAAAAGACTTAAATGAAATGGGCTTTAAAGGAAGACTGCCAATTCTTATTAATAACTTCCTAACAGAACAAACCTTTTAATGTTCATATAGGTACCCACACTGTCAGACCTATATGAACAAGAAATGGGTGTCAACTCAAGGAAGTATATGATCGGTGATGCTTTTCAATGTCAAAATAAATGGCATCATTAAATGCTTGAATCCTGGAGTTGACTGTGCACTGTATGTAGATATTTTCTAATGTGTAACAGATCAAAAAGTATCCATACAATTGAACAAAAATTCCGACAGTGTCTCAATAAAGCAAACAAGTGGGCCGCAGAAAATGGATTCAGATTCTCCAAAGAAAAAAAACTCAATGTGTTCATTTCTGTCAACATCAAAAGCTCCACCACAATCTTGAATTAAGATTCAATGCTCCAGAAGTGTATGTAGCAAATCAATACAAATACCTAGGAATAATTTTTGATAAAACTTTTCTTCATACCGTATATAAAATACCTTCGTGAGAAATGCAATAAGGCTATACATCTACTCAGAGGCATCTCTCACAAAGACTGGGGGGCTGACAGACAGACGTTACTGAATTACTGAAACTTTATCAGACATTAGTTTGATCCAGATTGAATTATGGATGCTTAATCTATGATGCAGCAATAAAATCATATGTGAAAGAATTAAATACCATCCATCACTAGGGTGTGCAATTCATTTTAGGAACCTATAATACATCCCCAATTGAAAGCTTATATGCTGAAGCACATGAGCCACATTTGGTATTAAGAGAACATAATTTGGCACTGCAATATTACACCAAGCTTTGTTGATGCCCAAATAATTCAGCTTACAGCTATGTTCTCCAACCTCAATACAAAGAGTTATATAATTTAAAGGAAAATGTCCTTAAACCTCTTTATATTTATGAACTAGTTCATATCGTCACCAAGGGTGTACTATTTACTCCACAACAACTTTGCAAAACTATGTTTTCTTTCTAAGACTTGTTTAGATGATTAAACTCACTCTTTCAGGTTTTTTTTGTTAAATGAGTTCATTTGTTCAACAACTCTTGAAATAAGTTTTCTCAAAATTAGAAGCAATATCTATATGACCTTTGTTATTAAAATAAGAATAAATGCCAATTTTTTGCTAATTTTTTTCTGAATTAAGCAAATCTTCAGAAAATAATAAGTTAAATCAAACATTCTTTAATTAGTCCATTTCTCTGTATTTAATGGAACTACAAAATGTACTGACTATATAATTATTGATTTTTAATGAATTTAAAAATTTATATATATATTTATATATATATATATATATATATATATATGGCCTACTCAATTGTTTCTTATTGCTGCTTTCAGTGCCATCTCTGTTGAGTTGTATTACATCTTTGCCACACTGTGGGGCCGTGAGCAATATACCCTTTATGGGATCTTGTTCATAGTCTATGGTATCCTCCTTAGTGTCACAGCCTGCATCTCTGTAGCCCTTACCTACTTCCAACTATCAGCTGAAGATTATCGATGGTGGTGGAGATCTATATTCAGTGCTGGGTAAGTTCAAATTTTTTTTTTTTTTTTTTGTGACCCTCTCCCCCCATACTTTTGTATGATTTAAGAGAGATTTTAGGATGATGTTAACTTGTATTTTTGTACTGCTCATCACTGTGCATTGAATTTCATTGTCTCAGTTTAGTTTAATCATCTTCAGCCAATCGAATCATTCCAAGAATTATTATAAGACAATTGAGCAGTTCTCAAAATGAGAGACAGTCTTAAAAAACAAAACTCAAAATATTTTGAAGTGTCATCTAAATATCTTGAAAATAGAAACCGTTTTTCATCTTTTTTTTGCAAGTTGTCATATTTTGTCAGTGTAGATATTTATGATCCTATTTCATCTTTTATTCCCTTAAAACAAATCTTTTATAAATCTTGAGATTCAATATGAAATGGGCTTTAAAGGAACAGAATTATTTTCTCAAGAACCTAATTGCGTCCATCCAAGCTTGCACAAAATGGGCACTTTTTTTTTTTTTTTTTTTTTTCAGTGCAAATTTGTGGTCTGACTTAATTTCAGCTGGAATGCTTCAAGAGATTTACCTACGTAGTATTAACTTATCTCACTAGGTCTTATATTGTTCATGACTTGTGATGATAACAAACAGAAAAAATATAAACAAACACTAATAAAGAAAGTAGGCAATAAGAGATTGGTTCTCAGCTGAAAGTAAGACTCAAAATTCACACATCTGACCTTCTTCACTTTAGGATTCAGCAATTTTAAATTGATGATCCAATTACCCTGACTCCTATTAAACTATTTATGTTGAGAGTTTAATATGAAAAGTTTGCTTGATAATATTGTTAGTTTTGAATCTACAAATAACTGGGTGAGAGTAAGTTCAATAAACTCAACAATTTGAAATTTAGTTTTATGTGGAGCAAAAAATTGCACTGAAAAAAGCAGGACAATGATTAATGGTTTCAAACTAAAATGAAAAAATTTGTTAATGTGTTAAAACAACAAGGAATGCATCAATAAGAAAGAAGCAGTAAATGAAGAATGAGGAGACAAAAAAGATTAAATTACTTGAAAAGATATCTTCAAATCAAGATGATGAATTTAAAACAAAAAAAAAAAAGCTTGGATTTCAAACTTATCATTTAACATGCATCAATATCTGCCTATATTACCGAGGTGAGGTATTGTAGCTATTTACACTAATAGGACTGTTGTCATCTTCACGCCTAGTGGTTGAAGTAATCCCAAAGAGTTGTGGGTTCAATACCTGGCCACAGCAGAGGTGAACAAAAATTGTAGAGTTGAGTTACTAAGGGAAATAACTGAAAGTGAGATATCTGGAAGAGGCATGGCACATGGAATGAGAACAATTCTACCCCAGTGGATGAAATAAAAGTTTAGTTTGAAATTCAAATCACCTGAAGAAGGCCAGAACATACAATGGCCAAAATGTCGTGAGTATGACAACGATGATGAGGGCAACAGTCTGAACAATGCAAATAGTGTAAATGATAACATGTATCGTTAAGAAACAAAAACTGACTTCTCATCAACCTGAAGTGAATTTTAGCAAAACAACTCCACTTTCTGACCTTTTTCTAAAGTTATAGAATTGTGAGCATAAATTTAGTTTTTAATATTTTTAATGTTTCATTGCATAGAATATCCATGAGTATGTTTATTTTTTCTATTTTCTTTTATGTATTTTTCAGCTCAACTGGCTGCTTTGTTTTCCTCTATGCACTGTTTTACTACTTTAAGCGATCCAACATGTCTGGCCTTCTCCAAACACTGGAATTCTTTGGCTACACCACTCTTTCATGTTATGTCTTCTTCCTCATGCTGGGGACCGTCTCATTCTTTGCATCGTTAAAATTTGTCCGCTATATTTATGTCAACCTAAAAATGGATTGAAAGAAAAAAAATTCTATTTCTTTCACTGTATCCAGGCGAGGATCTTATTATTTTTTTAATTTTTTTTTTTTTTAAACTTACTTTCATCTAAATTGTTCTTTTCTCATATAAGAGGGAATAAAAATAATGACATGAAAAAAAAAAGTGCAGAAAACAATTTATTGATTACCATTGAAAAGCCAAGAGTCTTGTATTATTTGCAAGATGAAGCTATTTTGTATATATGAAAACTCTTGCATGAACACATGGTTTCTATGTGAACGTCCACATGGATCAAGGTTTTATTTTAATTTTATTTTTTTTTTATTAATTTTTTTTTTGCTTTATTTTTTTTTTTTTTCCTAAAGACATTCCTTATTCATGTCTGTTGGGCTAGAAGTTATGTTTTCTGGTTAAAGGATCAATTGCTAAAGCGGAAGATAGGGGAAGGAATTCTTTTTTGGTTACTTAGGCTTTTTCTCTTTGTTTTGGGGATATTTCTATGGAAAGAAATTAATATCAACCTATGTATACACACATGCAAAAATACATATACACATACATACATGGATAAAGATCATGAAATTATATATATATATATATATATATATATATCTCCATCCATGCAGATATATGGGAATTGTGTTTGAATAAAAGTTATTATTAATATTTGAATTAGTTGTACTTGATGGTTTTCTACAAAGAGAAGCTGTTTCATTTGGAAATTATCAAATTAACAAAGATTTGAATTTTTGTAATGATTTTTAGAGTCTCTTACCTGCTGTATTGTCATGATGGTGGGGGTGAAGCAGAGTTGGGGGTGGGAATGGGAATACTCATAGAAATATATTGACATTATGGAAGTAGCAATTATTCAATTATACACAAGCGTACACAAAGAAAAACTTACAAATACCTACATATATGGATAAATATATATACTGATATGAAAAACAAATACATCTACATATTTACATTTGTTGACACATGCTTATAACTTAAACACATAGCATAAACAAATACATGCCTGCTAATATATAGCACAAGCATATACAACATTTAATATATGTATTTCTATATTTATGGAATATAAATATGTTGGTGTGCATATATATTCATATGTGTATATTTATAAACATACTATGTATATATAAATTTATATATTAAAAAACTGAGTGTGAATATATGTACACATAACTTCTCTGTGTATATCTACATATCTATGTATCTACATATATGTACATATAGACGTTATGTGTGTATATGTATATACTTTGTTGTACACAAATTGTGCATATGTATAAACAGATATATATTCATAAGAATGTAATGATAAGTGAATAGATATATGCATTCTGAATTGAAGTACCTGCCATTATGCAGTGATTAGTTGGTCTGTCTCAAAAACCATAGACAAGGAGTTCCTTTCTTTCTGAGTGCTCCAGTAAGCTGGCCTTGTGCCAAAGTTGGCATCATCCAACAAATATCGGTGTACATTGTGACTATTTTTGGCATCTTTTTAGACTGTTGATTCTATTTTCAATTTCTTGAAGGAGCAACAACACCCCATGTCCAGATTTCCCTCAAATAATAAACAAATATGTGGACCTCTCTGCCACTTGTGGTCTTTTTTCTTTCGCTGAATCATTTGAATAAAAATATTTGCCATGCTCATAACACATGGCTCTCTTTTCTGGCTTTTTGAGAAGGTAAGATTGTCAGGATTTGGTGACTGAAATGTCATCCGGATTGTAGGGATGTCTGTCTTTTTCATATTAAGAACAATGGCCCATTCCATTATTATGTAACAAAATGCTTGAGTGAAATTTTAAGTCTTACAGTAATCACTTGGAGAAAGTCTGTATAAGATGGTGCAATGCCTGGAAAGAAAAAAAATCAGCTTCAATGATTGTATTATTACAAAAATAAAGCTAAAGAGAACAATGTGTGAATTTTTTTTTCTTTTGTTCTTGTTTAAATGAAATCCCAAAGGCTCAATCCAGCATCACCACAATTTAGAAAGAAGAACTCTTTCAATTACTTTGCTGAATCACCTCTGATTCCATCAGGTCAAATTTAACGGAACACTTATACAGCCAACTATCCTGATTCAATTCAGTTTTTTTAATTGAATCATCAAAATGTTTTCATCTATCAATTAAGCTAACTTTTTCATTTTCTAATCTGCGGAATAATTTTAAAAGAAAATTTTAAGTCATTAAATTTTCCATAAATTTCTAGATTTCTTTTTTCTTGTCTTTCATTTATGTTTTCTTGTATGGAAATTAAGGAATTCAGGCAACTCTATACTAATAAGCATGAATTATTATTTCTTTATTAACAAAAGATGAAAATTTATTAATACAAATTTGTCAAATTCATTCACATCAGACAAATGAAAACATACCAAACTCATCAAAAATTGAACAAATTAAAACATATCGAAATAATGAAAATCTGTTTAAGAAATCAAGACATATCCTATCTAACAAGACAAAGCATGTGAAACTAATGAAAACATATCAAGCAAGTGAAAATGTATTAAACTAATGAAGACATGAAAAAAATCAAATCTGAAATTTTTTTTTTTCTTCAAATAGAAAAAAAAAAAAAAACGAAACAATTTAACATTTCTTCAAATCGTCATTTTTTTTAAAAATTCTTTTTAATGTGGTGCTAATATCAATGTCAAAACAAATAAACAGTTCTTAATAGCATCTGTCAATAGATGAGACGAGGTATTGTAACTGTTTACACTATTTACCTTATTTAGACTGCTGACCTCATCTTTATTGTCATACTCATGATGTTTTGGCTGTTGTACACTCTGGCCTTCTTCAGGTGATATACATTGTGAGTTCAATACCTGGCCACAGCAGAAGTGAACAAAAAATTGTAGAGTTGCATTACTAAAGGGAAATATCTGAAATATCCAGAAAAGACATGGCATGTGGGACTAGAACAATCTATCTCTTTCTTTCTTTTTATGTGCCATGTCTTTTCAGGATGTGGGCAATCATGGCTCTCTACCTCCCTCTATCCCTTACAGCTCTCAACAAGTTCCTTCCCTCTGCTTCCTCCCCCAGACCATGTTCTGTCATCCACTTGGTATGTCATGTGGAGATAGTTGTCTAGTACAATGTAAAACCCTTTTCATCAATCTAGCACAGCAATGTGCAGCAATTTAATATGGCATCAATTCCAAAAGTGGTCAGAAGAATTCTGGAGAGACATTAAGCCATACCGTTACATTTACGTATTGTAATCCTATGACATTTGATATCAGAGTAAAATTTTAATCAATGATCATGGAAAAAAATTTTTTTTTTCAGATTTCTTCTTGCTATGTTAAAACAATAGCAAAGTTGGTGGGGTTGTATATTATAGAATAATCTTGAGAGCAAAAAGATGTCATTAAGAGTGCACATGACTGATCTAAAGAATAAATCTAATATAGGAATTGAGCTATAAATCAGCTGTGACTAATTTCACATCAAAACTATCAATTTTTTTCTTGCTGCTGTCAGGTACAGAGTCAATGCTTTTATCAATGTTTTTCCCACCAGGCTTATAATGTTTCCAGTTGCTGTACTTTAACGATTTTTCATCTTAAATATCCTACCATCATGTCATGCTGATCAGAGAATATAATAATCAGAATGATATACGGATAAATATAAGACAAGGATGACATTCTAAAATTTACATACATTTTGTCTTTCCTCACACTCACAATAAACTCTTTGTAGACTAGTTTAAAGGTGTTTTTTTTTGCATTTGTTTGTGTATATTTTTTAATGTTTAATCTGGAGCAAAAATACTTAACTAAACATTAATGTGCCAGAAACAATCACAATTAGAGTCTCATGATTAATAATGGCTATTGGGATCAACAGGAATAATAAACTTGTAGATCATTTCAGAATAGAATACAAAATTCTGTATTTTAATAGTAAAAAAAGAAATATTTTAAAGAATTTTACAGTTTTTCTTTTTATCGTTATAATACAAAAAGTCTGTGATTGTGTGCTTGTGTGGTGCATTTGTCTGGCACATATTGATTTAAGTTAATAACATTTAAAAATACGAGTTGTTTATACAATAAGTATTTTTATTTTAACATTCTTCAGACAATTTTTTTAATTAAAATATTTCTAAGTTAAAGACAGACATAAAGAGATCCTGCTTTGCTGTTTTGTCCAGTTGTTTATAGAGTAATTATTTATATTTCAGCTTTCTTTAAACAGACAATACTTTAAATACTTAAAAAATATTTTTTGGCATATTTAAAAAATATTTTAAAAGTTCCAGTTTATCCCAAAAAGTTCTATTCCTATTAAATGCTGTAAACAGTAAAATGTTAACCATGAACTTGTAAACCTGACCAATGATGACACAAACAAATTGAAATATTTAATTGAATCATAATAAAATTAACTTTTATTTCAATGGAATTCTGAAATCAACTTCATTGTTTTATAATCTGAACTGTTAGTCTAGTGTATTTATAAATGATAAAATATTCTTAATTTTCAAGAATTCTGAGAAAAACAGTGTTCTTCTGCTTGACTGAATAATGCAATATAAAATTAACCATGGCTAAGTATTTTCATGCATGAAGAAGTTGGCATTGAGTCTTTGTGGTTAACATGCATCAGTTCAGAGGCAAAACAGGCCTTGAATCACATTCAGACATGTTTGTCAACATCAGTTACATCCAGGTTTTTCCCATTAGCAGCAGGAGAGTTTGGCATATCTAGATATGGGCCTCTCTGCAATTGGTCAAGATCCAGGTCTTTGTAAGATGCTTCATGGCAATAAAAACAGGGAAAAAAACCAGCAGTTGTCAAGACACTGTGTCTTGTGAATTCAGTTCATTGGGCATTTTTGTTCCTCAAGATGTTGTGGTTTCCCAGGTTATTTTTGTTA